GTATGTGTGTAGTGTGTGTGTGGTGTATGAGTGGTATGTGTGTAGTGTGTGGGGTGTGTATATGGTGTGTGTGTGCTGTGTATGTGTAGTGTGTGTGTGTGCTGTGTGAATGGTATGTGTACAGTGTGCGGGGGAGTGTGTGTATGTGTAGGTATGCATGTGGGGGGTGTGTGTGTGTGTGTGTGTGTACATGAAATCTCCCTCTGTCCCCCGCTGACAGGCACACTTGTGACAGCATTGAGGAGCTCTGGTGGCGTAGTGGGTAAGGCATTTGGCTGCCAACCACAAGGTGGGCAGTTCACACCACCGCTGCTGAGCAGGAGGAAGATGAGGCAGTCTACTCCTGTAAAGATTTGCAGCCTTGGAAACCCGGGGGCGGCTGTGAGGTGGCATTGACTCTGAGACCCTTGCTTTCATCCCATTGTCTAGGCTCTTTTTCCAAACAAGGTACAATTTACAGCTTGAGGGGACTTAGCTGCAGACCCCTTTGGGGTCAGTTTCAGCCGCAGGTGGCAACAGTGAATTGCGTGAGAATGAAACGAACCCACTTCCACCCGACACGTCTCCCTGTGTTCTCCTTTCCTTGTCATCTTTGGGGAAGACCTGCAGAAGCAGTGGCGTAGAGTCACTGGGGACTCTCCTATTGGTGGGTGGTGGGTGGACAGGCCACGTGGACAGAGCGGAGCAAGCACTCACAAGCCCGTCCCAGCGTGACAACATTGGTGAACGGCCCAGACAGTCGTGCTGAGGCCTGGGGGAGGAGTGGCCAGTTTCAAACGGCCTCTAGGAGCCCTCTGGGGTGAGGGCAGTGTTCCACAGCTGCACAGTCAGCAGGGCGGCAGGGGTGTCTGGGCAACTTAAGGACCTCTACAAAGTGTGAATTTCGTATCTCAGTTATACCTCAATAGAGGCACTAGAAGGAGCTCTGGTGGCACAGTGCCTAAGGCATTTGACTGCTAACCAGAAGATCAGCAGTTCAAACCCACCAGCCACTCCACGGAATGAAGACAGGGCAATCTACTCCTGTAAAGATTCACCACCCCAAAAACCCAATGGGGGTCGCTATGAGTTGGAATCGACTCGATGGCAGTGGGTTTGCTTTTGGGTAGAGCTGCTAGAAAGAAGTTCCAATCTCACTAAGTGAGCACTGAGTAAGTGTGGGCAGAGACACAACCAGGAATTCAGAACTAAACATTGTTCTGGTTTAAGATGATTCAAACATCAAGTAGACTTAGCCTCATTAGATGGAAAATTAAGTAAATAAATAAAATTTATAATTGAGTTATAAAAAAGTGTTACCTCTGCCAATTTCAGATGAAGAATAGCATTTTCTGCTTCTAGTTCAATTATTCTTTCTTCTTTGACCTACAAGAAAGGACACATTGTTGCCAGGGCTACGTCCTCCACTTGTCCCCATACAATGGAATAGTCACCAACAGCCACGTCCCTCCTCAGGAGTGAGTCCATGAAGGGATTCAAGTGCGTGCCCAGCGTAAACACCAAGGTCTGGAAAACCATGCTGCTGGTAGGGGCCGTCAAGTTGGCCCCGACTCATAGTAACTTCACACACGGCAGAAGGAAGCAATGCCTGGTCGGGCGCCATCCTCACAACCCTTCCTGTGCTTGAGAGCCTTTCCCTTTCTCGATGACCTTCTACTTTACCAAGCATATTCCTCTACAGAGACAGCTCCCTTCTGACGACATGACCAAAGTAGGTAAGGTGAAGTCTGGCCATTCTTGCTTCCAAGAAACATTCTGGCTGTACTTCTTCCAGGACACATTTGTTCATTCTTCTGGCAGTCCATGGTACTTTCGATATTCTTTGCCAACACCACAACTCAGAAACATCAACTCTTCTGCAGTCTTCCTTAGTCACTGTCCAGCTTTCACATGCATATGAGGTGATTGAAAACACCATGGCTTGGGTCAGCTGCACCTTAGTCCTCATAGTGACATCTTTGCTCTTCAAAACTTTAATGAGGCCTTTTGCAGCCAATTTACCCAGTGCAATATGATGTCTGATTTCTTGACTGCTGCTTCCACTGGTGATGATTGTGGATCCAAGTAAAATGGAAAACTATACAGATGGACAATTTAAGGATGGCATGAGGATGGGAGGCTGAGACATTTCTCACCTTGTCTGCCTCACCCCCCTCCCCAAATGAACTAGAATCTTCACCTGAATAAGATCGCAGGTGGTTCACACCATGTTGGAAAACACTGCTCTGTAGCAGCACTAAGGAGCCCTGGTGGCACAGTGGTTAAGCACTTGGTTGTGATCTGAAATGTCATGGGTTCGAACCCACCAGCTACACCATGGGAGGAAGATGGCAGTCTGCCTGTGTAAAGATGACAGCCTTGGGAACCCTGTGGGGCAGTTCCACTCTTTCCTCTAGGGGC